AAAAAAAAAAAAAAAATAAAATAAAAATGAACTGATTTTCCTAACAAATATGACCATAGATCAAACCCTGATATGCCAGCAATGGAGATGTCTGAATATTTTCTGGACTGTGTCTTCTTCAAATAGGATTTACTTGCCTCCTTCCCAGTCATTTTACCCCTTTCAGACGTGTCCCATTGTATTGTAGTTGTTTGTGTTTTATGTTCTTCGAACCCCTTCAGGTCAGGAATTGTGTCCCTCATGCTTAGCACAGTACAGTACTTTGCACCCAGTTGGTCCTTAATAAACGTTTCATTCAAATAAATGGTATGTACAAACATACTTCTAAGTGTAATCCAATAGCACAGTAAGTCAAGATGACTGATGTGATATTGGTTAAGTTCTCTAACACTAAAATAATTTGAATGGTCATGTGGAATTTTTAAGCAAGAAATTTTATGTGTATTGGAACTTATTTCTGACAACTGTGTACCTTTCACTTGGATTAACATCTTGGGCTAGGGCTGGGGATATAGCTCTGTGGCATAAGTGCCTGCCTGGCAAGTGTAAGGTCCTTAGTTCGATCCCCAGTACCGCAAAAAAAACAAAACAAAACAGAACAACAACAAAAAAAACCATCTTGGGCTGTATTGTTGCTCTCTTTGATATACCTTACAATATCAAGCGATCACAGAAGATTCCTGGATTTCCTGACCTAAAAGCTTAGCCCTAAAGTATTCAGGTCCCTTTATGTAATGCACCATGAATTAATAGCGTACTATTTTTTAAAATTTTTGTGGTAATCCTCATGTCAGAAAAAAAAGTTCCTTGTTTTGATTTTTGTTTTACAGAAAGCATAACTCCTACCATTGAGCTAAATGCACTGTGCATGAAACTTGGAAAAAAACCAATGTATAAGCCTGTTGATCCCTACTCTCGGATGCAGTCCACCTATAACTACAACATGCGAGGAGGTGCTTACCCCCCGAGGTATGTCTGTGTTGAGTTCTTTGTAAGATATATTTGAAAATATAAGACAAAAGATGTAAATGTATGAATTTTTTTTTTCTAAACTAAAACCTCAGTATTCAGGTTTAATTGCAGTGTTGGCACTTTGTAATAAATAGATGGGTTTTGGGTTGCAGTTTGGGCGCTTGTCTCTAAAAGATTCGCCATCACTACCCTAACCTAGTCTCTATAAATTATGGAATGAATAATCATTTGGTTGTCATTGGGGCTGCCAAGTGGGGAAGTAAGCTTTGACTGTGTTATGCCTTTGGAAACATCTTGGTGCTCATTTAGCTTCTCTTCTTGGAAAAGGCATGAGCATATTCCTCATGAGCTGTGGGGCTGAAGAGTATCATTACAGCTGCTTTGAGTAATTGAATCATATTTGAACACAATTCCCCAACATCATCATTCTCAGCATTCATAGATTTGTGGTGGTGGTGGTGGTGGTTTTTTATTTCTTTTTTTTTTGGTTTTTCTCCGGTACCAGGAACCGAACTCATGACCTTGCGCTTGCCAGGCAGGCACTTTTGCCACTGAGCTAAATCCCCAGCCTTTTTTTTTTTTTTTTTTTGGTGGTGGTTTTTTAGACAAAAGCTGTATAGCCCAGGCTGCCCTTGAACTCACTATGTAGCCCAGGCTGGTCTTGAACTCATAGTGATCCTCCTTCCTCAGCCTCCCTAGTGCTGGGATTATAGGCGTGCATCACTATGCCTGGCTCCTGATTATTTTATTGGGTGACTTTTGAATTTTGAACTTTTGTGCTTTGTCATATAAAATACTAGTTGAAATTTGAAAGTGCCATGTGTTAAATCTTTTGCTGGTGATAATAAACATATCAGTAGAAAGATTGATGATCAAAGTAGGACTCTTTAATTATTCTGCCTTCTTTAGGGAGGGGATGGGCAAAGACATTTTAGAAATGTAAATTCTGAGGTGGGTATGGTGGCACATACTTGTAATCTCAGCATTCTTGGTGACTGAGGCAGGAGGATTCCAAGTTTGAGCCCAGTTCAGGCAACTGCACTGTCTCAGTCAGTTAATCAGTGGCTGGGGTTTTAGTTCAGTGTGAAGGCCCTGTGTTTAGTCCCTAGTTTTACCCTCCACACCCCAAATACATACATAACACATATGTGTATGTATGAACTTTTGAAATATAAGAAACCAGGAACTGAGCGATGGGCTCTTGTTTATAGAATTTATTCCTTTCTTAATTTTTTTTTTTTTTTAAATGTAGAGCCTTGAAGATTGAACCCAGGGTCTTGGGCACCACCTCCACTACTGAGCACCCTTTATCCTTTCTTAAAAATACTAGCTTTACAATTCAGAGCCTCCTCTGGAAGCATGCAAGTAGAGAAAATTTGAGAAAGTAAAACAAGTTAATTTCTGTCTCAGCCAAAGCTGAGTTCAGATTTTTTTCAGTATAGGCTAGCATTATAAGTTAAACTCATGTAAGCTGGGCATGGTGGTGCATGCCTGTAATCCCAGCACTTGGGAGGCCGAGGCAGGAGGATTGTTGTGAGTTAGAGGCCAGCCTGGGATACAAAGTGAGCGCAAATCCAGCCTGAACTGCATAGCGAGACCCTGTCCCAAATAGACAAACGAATAAAAAAGAAATAAACTCATTAATTTATAAAACATATTTTATAGAGCATAAGTATGGATTACTATATAGACAAAGTACACAGGTATCCTGTGTATGCACTGTATACTGTGTAGCAATTCTAATCCAGTTTAAACTTTCACAGAATCTCTGATATGTTGATGGAGGCTTTTTTAGCAAGCAGGCACTAGTGTAATTAGGCTGTGATGAAGGAAATATTTGGAATTTGCCAGAGACTTATCAACCTGAGACTGTAATTTTCCTAACTTCCTTTTATTTTTAGGTATTTTTACCCATTCCCAGTTCCACCTTTACTTTATCAAGTTGAACTTTCTGTGGGAGGACAGCAATTTAATGGGAAAGGAAAGACGAGACAGGCTGCGAAACATGATGCTGCTGCTAAAGCTTTGAGGATCCTGCAGAATGAGCCCCCACCTGAGAGGCTGGAGGTAAGGAGGGCAGAGTAGGAGGGTGGCTTGAAAGACATTGCCTCAGATTACTTTTTCTGAGAAGGTATGTTGACAGCTGTCCATAATTTTTATTATTTGATAGTCTGTAAGGTTTTATACCCTGTAGTGTGTCCCTTCTTTTCCTTTTTAAGTCTCTAGCAAAAGAGTCACAAGCCTTTTTCACTCTTTGCATTGTTTTGAGCGATGTGACTACGGTACAGACACATTAGAAGGACTGACTGTTGAGTTGCGAGATGGGTATGGATGTGTTCTTAGTGCTGATGATTGTGTTTGCTGGGACCTACTAATCTACGGTACACAGAGAGTGTTCTGACCTGTTCTACCAGCCATTTTTTATTAAGTAGAAATGCTTGTTGTCCATTGCTACATGACAGGCCCTCACAGAACTTAGTGACGATTTAAACATCTGGAGACACTTATTTTGCTCACAGGTCGGCAAGGCTTGGCGAGGTAGCTTGTCTTTGCTCCATAAAGTTTTGGCAGTGGTGGCTCACAGGGCCCTGAGAATCTACTCTTAAGATACATGTTCACATGGCTGGTTGTAGCTAAGTGGCTCCTTGGTACGGGGATCTCACTCCTCTCTGAGTTGGCCTATGCAAGGACTGATTACACGGTCTCATGGCTTGGTGGCAAGACTGCAAGAATGGTAGGAAATAGAAGAAGCTGCCAGTGTCTTGAGGGCTGTGCCCAAAAATCATGGCATCCCTTCTGCCATATTGTATAGATTAAGCCGGTGCAGAACCCATATCCAAGCAAGCAGATAGAGAGCTTGTTTGTTTGGTTTGCCTTGAGGTGAAAATTGCGTTACATAAACTTATCATTTTGACCATCTTAAATGTATAATCCTATGGCTTTTAGGGCATTCGCTTCTGGAGAAGAATGAAAAAATTTGAGGTTGTGGATTTTTTTTTTTTTTGTCTTTTTGAGACAGGGTCTCACTATATAGTTCAGTCTGGCCTTGAACTCACTGTGTAGCCCGGGTTGGCCTTGAACTTGCAGCCGTCCTTTTGCCTCAGCCTCCCAAGTGGTGAGATTGCAGGTGTGTGCTACCATGCCTGCTTGAGGTCATATTTTAAAACCACAGTGATAGAAAGATTCTCACAGTTTGTAATTAAATAGCAATATAATTTTTAAGAAATCAGTGGCTCTGTGTTAGTGAGGGACCAAAGCATTAGGGATTACTGCTGGTAAAATAGAGTTTTATTATAAAGCCAGTCACCAAAGGTCCAGGAAAAAACCTGGAGAGTAGAGAACATTGAGATTTCATGATTCTAGCTTTTTTTTTCCTTTTTTTTTTTTTTTTTAAGATAGGACCTTGTTGTACAGTTCAGGCTGCCCCTGAACGCCCAGGGTAGCCTCAAATGTCCTGCATTCCTCCTGCCTCAGCCTTCTGAGTGCTGGGATTACAGGCATATGCCACCACACCCGGCTCATGGTTCTGTTTAAACACAGTAGTTTCTCCTGAAAATATCCATGAGTATTCACTTGACTTTCCTTCCCTAGGTAACAAGTTCATGAAGAACAAGGTAATGTTTCCCAGAACATTGGGCTAAGAGTATGATGAAAGGTGGGGACCCAGGTGACCATAAGTCAGGCCTTGCTGAGTGAGGACCATTGTGTCCATTTGCCATCCGAAAGTTCTGGCACAGGAGGGTCCTCTGGGGCTTTGAGACTGGCTGTGCAGGAGTGCTTTGTTTTTGCTTACTATGCTGCATTTTCATTTGCCAGCATAATCATGCATCCTACTAGAGAAGATCTGGGTCCACTGAGGACCAAACAGAAGAGAATTGGGCTGTAACTTAGAAGGATTTCGTGGAGTTAAAAGGATATGTTTCTCAGTGATTTTCAACAAATCTCAATGAGATTTGTTAAAAGACTAGAATCCGAGTGTAATCTGAGTTACTTTGAGTCTCTTTCATCTTTTTTACTTGACTTTGGTGCTAATGTAATTGGAGTCATATGGAGCAGGTATTTCTCATTTCCTTTAGCCAGTAATTGATAGATGATTGCCTAACACTGGGGTGTGGATTGTCTGCATTAGAATGTTTGAGAAGTGTAGGAAAAAAATTCTCAGGGCCAACCCACATGATTGTATCGCAGTAGGGCTAAGGTAAAGCACCGCTTTCTGGCTTTTGCTTTCTTACTGTTTGTATGCTCAGACAGGGGCCAGAAACGATTGCTCCTTAGTATGAGCCATACTTCTGAGTCCTCCTTTGAATCCTCCTGGGAGGAATCATACATTGCTATAAAGGAGAAGAGTCTGTTTGTGTCTGTGAGTCTAAGGTACAGGTCTAAGAGCAGAAATGGACACATTGTCTTGGCTGAATTTTGCAAAGAGCTTTGCAGGAGCTTATATCTACTGTTGCCCCTAGGCTTCCCTCCTCTTGGACTATATTTAGTTCTGTGTGGTTTGGGCTAAAGACAATGCCTTTCATAAGGCTGGAAGACTGGCTTTAGCTAATACTTTGCCCCCTTGATTTTGGGGGGGGTGTCTCACCCTCCCTCCCTTCTTTCCTAATTTCCTTCCTCCTCCCTCCCATTCTCCCTCCCTTTCTCCCTTTGCTCTTGATACTGAGAATTGAATCAAGAACACTGCCACTGAGCTGAGCTACATTCCCACTTTTTAACTTTGCTGTTGCTGAGTTGCTAGGTTGACCTCAAGTTTGTGACCCTCTTGCCTCTGCTCTCAAGTAGCTGGAATTACAGGTGAGAGCCACCATGTCTAGCTCATTTTTCTTCTGTAAAAGTAGTGCATGCAAATTACAACAGTTTTTAAATTGAAGAAGGAAAAAAATAAATAATACATAAATTTATCACTTGGACATGATCCTTATAAACATCTTGGTTGATGTCAGTGGCTTTGTTGGTAAATACATGTACCTGTCTTACCAAAATGGGATCTTACAGTGCAGTGTGCACTTTCTTCACTAAATTGTTGGTCATGAATATATTGTCATTTACTTACCATTTCTTGGAAGAGTCATATTCACCATGTATCTAAGAACTTCCTAGTGGCTGCACAGTGTTGCATTGTATGCCCATAACCAGCTTTATTTTTTTAGCAGGGACTCAAGCAAAAAGCTAGGTTTTTTTTCAGTTTTCTCTCTTACAAAACAGTTGGTGAAGAACATTGTTGTAGTGAAAGTTTTGTTGTATCCAGTCATTTCTGTGAGCCACAGTCCCAGAAATGGCATTGTGCAACCACAGGGCAAGTGTGGTGATGTACATGGCCATCCTCTCCACCAGGAAGGTGGTCCCAGTTCAGAGCCCTGCCAACAGGAGGTACACAGCCTGTTTCCCCACAACTTGGCCAGCATTGAAAATGATCATGTAAAACGTGCTCCTTTTTGCTGTGGGAAATGTGTAGAGCATATGGATGTATGGTGGGTCAATTTACCTTCTCTAAAAACGGCCAATAGAGCCAGCATTTTCTCTCCACAGGGCAGATGTGGTCTGGTCCTTCCATGACAGGCTTTGAGCTAGGCTGTGTGGTGCAAAAGGCCAGCACCATCCCTGGCCCTGTGGCAGTTAGGGAGTAGAGCTGACACACAGTAACATGAGTGACCTGAGCAAGTGCAGTGAGTGCTGGGAGAGGAGACTAGTAGGGATTAGGACTTGAAATGTCCAGATTGGAGTCATGGCACTGTGTTCTGGAAAGACCTCCCAGGAAATTATTTGTCTTCTGAAACACATTCCCAGAGAGGGAACTGTGACCAAAGGCCCTGAGGTAGGAAAGTACATGGGTTTTTGTTCTAAGCTAGGGTTCACGCTAATAAAGGATGGTTTTTATTCAGTATCAGAACTGTTCAGGAGCGAGATGGTCCGAGCAGCAGTCCCTGAAATGGAGCTAGCTTCCATGTCCATTGCCGGGGAAAAGGCTGCAAGTACCAGAGGGTGGTAGATTTGTGTACCTGGGCTTGAAAGGGCCCACAGTCTACTGGGGTGGGGTTGGCTGTAGGACTGTCCTGTATACGGGATGATCTTGCTGTGTTCAAGAAAACAAAAGGAGCCAACTCTGTGTGGATATATACATATGTTTGGATGTACATAGTGTGTATTTTGAAGGTTGCCATCAAACTGTAAATGTAGTTTCCTTCTGGTATTCGAGCAGAAGATTTTTTATTACACTTTGGGATTTTTTTGGGCACTTTCCTTTTTGTTTTTTCTTTTTTTCTTTTCTTTTTTTTTTTTTTTTTGGTACTGGGAATTGAACTTAGGACCTTGTGCTTGCCAGGCAGGCACTGTGCCACTGAGTTACGTCCCTGGCCCTCTTTTACTTTTATAAAAACAAATGCAGCTCTTCCTGGTCTTGAGCTCTTATCTTTACTTGGGACAGGGATACAATTTAAAGTTGAAGATCTTAATCCTCATTCTGTCAGTGTCCAGAACGCCTAGCTTTCTTTTTTCCCCCTCCCTCCCTTTCTCCCTTCTGTTCTTTTTTCCTTTTGGTACTGGAAATCGAACCCAGGCTCTTCACACTGAGCTGTGTCCCTGGCCCTTTTTTCATTTTGAGACAAGACACTACTAAGTTGCCCAGCCTGGGCTTGAATTTGTGATCCTCCTGCCTTGGCCTTTCAGAGTGCTGGGATTAGTGATGTGTGCCACCACGCCCAGTTCATTTTCTACTTTTGAGCTTTCTTTCGTTTTTTGAGACAAGGTCTCACCATACAGTGCAGGCTGGCTGTAAACTCACTACAGAGCCCAGGTTGCCCTCAAACTTAGAATGATTCTCCTGCCTCAGCCTCCTGAGAGCTTTCTTTTTCAAGTCTTTTAAGGAATAATATTGATTGACTTTATCTTCTTAAAGAATTCTTATGAAGAACTGAGAAAACATACAAGATTTTTTTTTTCCTTGCTGGAGACAGGATCTTGCTATGTAGTGCAGGCCAGCCTTGAACTTGCTTATGTAGCCCAGGCTGGTCTTGAACTCATGGCCATCCTCCTGCCTCAGCCTCCTGAGTGCTCTCCTTACAGGTGTG